ATGGTTTCTCAGTAACACTGATGTCTAAATTACTGTCATCGTTTGACTCGAGTTCGAAATTAAACAGGGAATTCTCCCTGGTTCAATATTGCATTAATCCTTGGTAATGCGCACCCACTTGACTGATGAAAAGATCCTAGAAGGAACTTTGGATTTCGCCGATGATGATTTATGTCTAATGTCAAACAAGCTCGACGATCTACAGGCGAAAACTAACAAGATAACTGAAGATACAGGGCAGCGAAGATGGGACTTAAATCAGGTGAACGTAGAGAATACAGAGGTCATCAAGATGTCGAACCAACCAATCACAACAACAACAACAACAACAACAAGCACCAGTCACCATCAACAGGCGAAATCTAAACCAAATTGTCTCTCTTACTTATCTTACCAACTAGGAGGCAGCATCTTCTCAATGACACGCGGCGGCACAAACACAGTTGACGATACGAAAGTCAGTCAGGATTGGAAAGACAGCAAGACGCACCTTCCCATATCAATCTGAAATCAGGGTGGAGATCTACTGCACTACACTGCACCGCACTCAACATGTGAAACAACATCCGGATTTTCAACACTACCAATGTCATTCAAGTAAGTCATTGGTTCTATGTAATGGTTTAGTGACTTGGCGGGTTAGGAAAGTATTTCCAAGAAACTGCAGACATTCATCAACAGCTGCATATGCTCGTCAGTAAAGATCAGATGCCAGAATGCTAAAAATGAGCAGGGAGGTACTGTTACCTTGCAACAAAACAACGAAACAAGGAACTGTCGTCCAAAAACTATGCAGAAGAAAGGGGAGATAGGTAGAGGATACACTGAGAAACCCGGTTGTGGACATTACGCTTCAGTCCAGGCAGTCGAGTGGAACCCAAATGAAGGGACGAGTTGGGCGTCCAAAGGTGACATCGAGATGGTGTGAGGAAGAAATGAAAGCTTATGTAGAGTCGTGGAGCCAGGATAAAAAGACTGCAGTGAAGAAATTGAAATGATTACGTGTTACTGAATCCCTGTGTTCCACTAGGAAACCAAAAGACAAATAATATGATAATAATGTACTCAGCATCGTTATTCGGTCATATTAGGAACCTTTCAACTTCCAGACTTGTAAACTCTTACGATTTGAAACTTAGAATGATCTACGTATAGAAGAGGATGCAAAATTAGTTAGCTTCTATATAACAAGTCTTGATATTAAAATACCAATCAATACACCGCCGGAGGCAGTCACAAATCAACTAAATATTGAATCAGAACTTACTCACAGAACTAAGATATCGCTTGATGAGATAATATTAGACGGATTATTGTGCCTGACCGTCACAGTCTTCAAGTTTCAGGACAAATGTATAGACAAACAAAAGGAACGGCAATATCCCTGAACATGGCCATGAGAAAACATGGCTTTACAAATATTTAATCCTACATCAAAAATATGGTGGCGATATGGGGATGACACATTTACTACACTGTTGAAATCACAACATATCGACAATTTCATCACACATAGAAAATCAGTAGTAAACTCAATCAAATTCACCTACCAACAGGTAGAAGAATATGAACAAGGAGAATTAACCATGTTCGATTGCAGAATAAAACACGGAACAGATAGTGGCTTGCATACTACCCACCATCTACAGAAAAGCAACACATTACAACAGCTATCTACACTTCAAGTCATCTCATCCAATGTGAGTGAGTCAGTGAAGACAGGTTTAGTCACATGTGTAAATGATATAGCTAGAAAACTGACTAGTCAATAGAATAAGCTAAACAAGAAATTGAAGCAGGTGAACGAAGCACTCACAGTGAATAATTATCCACTTCAGTTTATTAACAAATACATATCAACACATAAGAAATGAAAAGATGACAATGACATGAGTACGAGTACGAGTAATAGAGATGAGACAAGTAGAAAGGAGTTGACAACCTCCATTTTGTGTCACCCTATCAGGAAGGAACATCACAAAGTTTACTTGGGATTCTCAACAGAGTTGGAATTAGTTGTGGTGACATTTAAACCTACAAACTCACTCAGAGATAAACTTTGTCGGTTAGTTGTTTAAGGATCTGACAGAACCAATTCAACAAACATAATCTGATCTATGAAATTGCATGTAATGAGTGTGAGTGAGGTGAAGTGCCTAGATGAAACTAGCCGATCGGCGTCAGTTAGATTAGTGGAACATAGAAATTTAGGTAAATATCGAATGACAGACATGAATAAGATGAATAATGTAGAAAGTTATTCTACTACTGCTTGAGTCCAGTAAAATTAGGTGGGTAGACAAAGGGGGATTGACTACTGAATCTTTTCTTCATCAAATCAGCCACCACCCAACACATGTATAGTAGGAATGATATGGAAAAGCGATATGGAAAATGTTATTACGAATAAACAAAGGGTATCATGGAACAAGACTATAAAATCGATTGTTGACAGCGGTATGATTACATTGATATGATTATGATCAGTGATAATTTATGCTGAAAGTGTTATCAAGTAAATAATTCTCTATCAAATCATGTTGTATAACAAATCAACAAATCTAAAATGGAAGTATTGAAGTAATGTTACTTCTCAATATGACTTAACAAATTCTGAAGCATTTAAACAATACTTAAAAGTGACGATCGTTTTGTATTCAGTGAGCTTTCATCATCGAACTTGATGACATCTTCAGATTCGAACTTTATTGACCAATTGTAAGATGAAGAAAGGATTCTCTTTTTTAACAAATATTGACCTCTATAACCTTAGATGTCTTTCGTTTACAGTGATAGAGAATCTTGGAGTGGAATTATACCATCTGTTACTATCCCACTGTGGATTATTACTGAGTGTTTCGATCATTTACTATCGATGTATAAACTAACAACATAATGTTATAAAAAATCTTTACAATTGCATTTGTAGAAACATAGGTCCAGGGATTCCTACCGATTGCCTCCAATCAACCAACATCTACTGATGTGCATCGCAATGCTCAGCTTCCTAGCTTGGTTACCACAATGCAAATATGATCAATAGTATTCGGTCTTCACTCAGGACTGGACAACATGATATTGGTTGTACTCCAATGACCAATCAATACATGTAAGCCACTCCTGTAGGAGGTCAATCACAACCCGAATAGCTGAATGGTAAAGTCGCTGACTGCAACACTGGGTGATGTGGGTTCGAATCTCAGTTGGGATATCAGTTCTGTCGAGGTTGTAGATACGCCTTACTGATGAGGGCGAAAAAGCGCGAAACCTAAGTGAGGCGGGGCTTCCTACCGATCGCCTACAACCAACTAACATCTACTAATGTGCACCACAATGCTAAGCTTCCTAGCTTGGTTACCACATTACAAATATGATCGATAGGATCCGGTTTGCACTCCCCTGACCAATCAATACATGAATTGATTTCGTTGGTTTGTGTGGTACTCTAGTCACGAAACGGAAGAATTGATCAGCTAAAAAGTTTCTAGGATATCTTTAATATAGAGTAGCGTAATGTCAAACTGCCGAAGAAGGGAGACCTCAGTGCTTGCAAGAACTGGCGCGGAATCACTCTCCTGTCCACCCCAAGTAAAATATTAAGCCGCATCATCCTAGAGAGGCCTAAAGACGCACTGGATTCAAAACTGCAACCGGAACAGGCAGGCTGGATTCAGGAAGTACAAATCATGTGCAGACCAAATTGCAACGCTTCGTATCATCATAGAACAGAGCATAGAATGGCAATCAGCTCTATACCTCAACTTCATCGACTTTGAGAAGGCCTTTGACAGCGTCGACCGAGAAGTAATTTGGAAACCGCTTCAATACTACGGAGTACTGCAAACCTTTATCCGCCTCATTCACCAACTATATGAAGATGCCACATGCCAAGTAATCCACAATGGGAAGCTCAGCGATGCTTTTGAAGTGAAGTGAAGACAGGAGTGAAACAAGGTTGCTACTATCACCCATGATATTCCTTATTGTGGTGGACTGGATCATGCAGCAAACAGTAGGCAGCGAGAAGAGGGGGATACACTGGCTGGACTGCGGCAAAGAACCTAGAAGACTTGGATTTCGCCGATGACTTATGCCTAATGTCACACAAACTTGAAGATCTACAGGCAGACTAACAAGTTGGCAGAAGAGGCAGCTAAGACGGGACTTCAGGTGAATATAGAGAAGACAGAAGTGATGAAGATACCGCACCACCACCATCAACAACAACAACAAACTCCAATCACCGTCAACGGGAGAAACTTAAAGGAAGTAACCTCCTTCACTTATCTAGGAAGCACTGTTTCAACTACAGGCGGGACAGACGAGGACGTCAAAGTCAGAATCGGAAAAGCAAGACAGGCGTTCATTAGCCTGAAACCAGTGTGGAGATCTTCTGCACTCAGCATGCGGAACAAGATTCGGATTTTCAACACCAACCTAGTCAAGTCAGTGCTCTTGTATGGTTCAGAGACTTGGCGCGTCACGAAAGGGATTTCCAATAAACTACAGACATTCATCAACAACTGCTTACGCTCACTCGCTACTCAAGATCAGATGGATGGCCAGAATGAGAGAATAAGCAACAAGGTGCTCTGGGAACGAACCAACCAAGAACCTATCACCCAGCGAATATGCAGGAGGAAATGGAGATGGATTGGGCATACACTGAGAAGGCCGACTGGGGACATCACGCGTCAGGCCTTCGAGTGGAACCTGGATGGGAAGCGACGAGTTGGGTGTCCGAGGTGAGGGTGACATGGAGGAGGTCGTGCGAGGAGGAAATGAGAGGTTGTGGGCTGTCGTGGAACGAGGTTCAAAAGATCTCAGAGAACAGAGGTCACTGGAGACGTGCTAGTGAAGCCCTATGTTCCACTAGGAACCCAAGGGACTAATAATAATAATAATATAATAATGCGCCTATTGATTCTAGGTAACTTCTCTAACTTTAATCCTGTTGACAAATTTTGTTTAAAATATTATGTAATAGCTATTGAACTTACCAACATATTGACGTACACCAATAAGACCAATAAATAAGAACAATAATACACTTGTGTACTGATAATTTAATCTATCAGCAAAATCATCATCAAATTGTAAACGTCTAGATCCAATACGTCCAAGTTTAGATAAATTCCAAATAAATGCAGCATCCATTTATAAACAATTCAATGTTTAAGCGTTTTTTGAGCGTTAGTAACAACAGTGGTTGTGATTAAGTTCAATACTGATTACATTCAACATATTCTTAGCCTAAAAAGAAATTGAGAATAATATCAATGAATGAATATGTTTTGATCGAGTTAAAAACTGTTCAGTTTTCTGTTTTCAATGATATGAAATTGTAACGCAACTATGCATGATGTCACTCATAGATTCAGATTCACTTATAGACATTCACCTAACTTCTAATCTCTTGAACTGATAAACTAATTTCTTTCTTTAATATGGGTGTAAAACTTGGGCACTGTGGTAGAAATCTAGTATTATTTACTTGATGATCACGTTTCGAGCATTAATCACTCATTGCCCATAATCATACCTCAATGTAATCATACCGCTGTCAACAATCGATTTTTATAGTAATGTTACCCACCTCATATTATTCGCATATCTCTGGTATACGTGTTGCATCATTCCTACTATACATGTGTTGGGTGGTGGCTGATTTGATGAAGAAAAGATTCAGTAGTCAATCCCCCTTTGTCTACCCACCTAATTTTACTGGACTCAAGCAGTAGTAGAATAACTTTCTACATTATTCATCTTATTCATGTCTGTCATTCGATATTTACCTAAATTCCAATGTTCCACTAATCTAACTGACGCCGATCGGCTAGTTTCATCTAGGCACTTCACCTCACTCACACTCATTACATGCAATTTCATAGATCAGATTATGTTTGTTGAATTGGTTCTGTCAGATCTTAAACAACTAACCGACAAAGTTTATCTCTGAGTGAGTTTGTAGGTTTAAATGTCACCACAACTAATTCCAACTCTGTTGAAATCCCAAATAAACTTTGTGATGTTCCTTCCTGATAGGGTAACACAAAATGGAGGTTGTCAACTCCTTTCTACTTGTCTCATCTCTATTACTCGTACTCGTACTCATGTCATTGTCATCTTTTCATTTCTTATGTGTTGATATGTATTTGTTAATAAACTGAAGTGGATAATTATTCACTGTGAGTGCTTCGTTCACCTGCTTCAATTTCTTGTTTAGCTTATTCTATTGACTAGTCAGGTTTCTAGCTATATCATTTACACATGTGACTAAACCTGTCTTCACTGACTCACTCACATTGGATGAGATGACTTGAAGTGTAGATAGCTGTTGTAATGTGTTGGTTTTCTGTAGATGGTGGGTAGTATGCAAGCCACTATCTGTTCCTCGTTTTATTCTGCAATCGAACATGGTTAATTCTCCTTGTTCATATTCTTCTACCTGTTGGTAGGTGAATTTGATTGAGTTTACTACTGATTTTCTATGTGTGATGAAATTGTCGATATGTTGTGATTTCAACAGTGTAGTGAATGTGTCATCCATATGTCGTAACCATAAGAAAAATGTTTCTACCAATCAAAACAAACAATATGAGGTGGATGATAGGAGTATAAAAATCAGATGTGAGAATGGTGTGACTATATTGATGTGATTATGAGAAATGATGGAGGTGATGGAGATACCCAACCAACAACAACATCAAGAACAAGCACTAATCATCATGAACGGGAGAAACTTGAAGGAAGTAGTCTCTTCACCTACCAAGGCAGCATCCTCTCAACAACAAGCGACACACACAAGGATGTCAAAACCGGGAGCCAAAAAATCACTGTGGAGATCTACTGCACTCAGCACAGAAGGTGAACAAGATCCGGATCTTCAACATCAATGTCAAGTCAGTGCTGGTATATGGTTCAGAGGCTTTGCGTATCACGAAAAGCATTCCCAACAAACTGCAGACATTTTCAATAACTGCATGCTCTCATTTGATACTGAAGATCAGATGGCCAGAATAATAATATAAGCAAGAGGAACTCTGGTCTGGCAACGAATCAACCAAGAACCTATCAGCCAACAAATGTGCAGAAGAAAGAGGAGATGGATTTTAGTGGGCATGCACAGGCCAGGCACTCGAGTGGAATCCAGAGAAAAAATGACGAGACGGATGTTTGAGGCGAGGGTGATATGGAGGATTTTGTGTGTGTGAGAAAGAAACGGAAGTTTGTGGGGAGTTGTGATGCCAGGTTAAAAGACTGGAGAGAAGAGAGTGGAATGGAGGCGTGCTACTGAAGCCGTATGTTCCACTAGGAACCCAAGGGAAAAGTAATAACAATGTATCGTAAATGAGAAATGATAATTTCTTCTCGAAACTTCATCATCAGTAGATAATACGTTATTGTCGTGTGTAATAAATCAAGTACATAAGTATAATATAGTATTAAGTGTTGTTTGGCTTTCTCATATTTCTGTACAGCTATGTATTAGCTTGTAAGGGATTATTCAGAAAAGCCTATCCTTTCCTTATGATGTTCGTTATGCCAGCTTATGGTAGAAGGTTTCTTGGCATTTTTATCTTCAAAGTAGTTGTGAATAAATTGTGTCTTAATCTATCACTCCTTTCTGACCAGAGATACTAAATCAGAAGTTTCAAGCGATGAAAACTGTCCTATCAGTTTAATTAAAATATCAGAATTGTGTTTATGTCATTTGGAGAACCGTTAGCTTTTCATGGACAATGGATTAAGTATATTATTTTTATTATTATTAGTCCCTTGGGTTCCTAGTGGAACATAGGGCTTCACTAGCACGTCTCCAGTGACCTCTGTTCTCTGAGATCTTTTCAACCTGGTTCCACAACAGCCCACAAACTCTCATTTCCTCCTCGCACGACCTCCTCCATGTCACCCTCACCTCGGACACCCAACTCGTCGCTTCCCATGGGGATTCCACTCCAGCAACTGGCCTGATGCGTGATGTCCCCAGTCGGCCTTCTCAGTGCATGCCCAATCCATCTCCATTTCCTCCTGCATATTCGCTGGGTGATAGGTTCTTGGTTGGTTCGTTCCCAGAGCTCCTTGTTGCTTATTCTCATCATTCTGGCCATCCATCTGATCTTGAGTAGCGAGTGAGCGTAAGCAGTTGTTGATGAATGTCTGTAGTTTATTGGAAATCCCTTTCGTGACGCGCAAGGTCTCTCAACCATCACATACAAGCACTGACTTGACTAGGTTGGTGTTGAAAATCCGGATGTTGTTCACGCTTTATGCTGAGTGCAGTGCAGTGGCAGAAGATCTCCACACTGGTTTCAGGCTAATGAACGCCTGTCTTGCTTTTCCGATTCTGAGTGGTTTTGACATCCTCGTCTGTGCCTGTGTCGCCTGTAGTTGAAACAGTGCTTCCTCGATAGGTGAAGGAGGTTACTTCCTTTAAGTTTCTCCCGTTGACGGTGATTGGAGTTTGTTGTTGTTGTTGTTGATGGTGGTGGTGCGGTATCTTCATCACTTCTGTCTTCTCTATATTCACCTGAAGTCCCGTCTTCGCTGCCCTACCTCTTCTGTCAGCTTGATAGTTTTGCCTGTAGATCTTCAAGTTTGTGTGACATCAGGATGAAGTATATTACGTGAACTAAATGATTCGACTGTAGGTGTAGTTACGTACAAACAGTTAAAGACATAAACTTCAAGGTCATGTAACTCGATCCAAATAAGTGTAGCAAGCAACTTCACTTCATGAGTCATTCATATTAGATATCCTGTAGTTTAGTTATTTATGTAATAAATAGGGTGATGTTTACAGGTGGAACAAAAATTCACCTTATGATAAGATTCTAAGCATTGATCTTCAGTCAGCCAGCTTAACACTCTATCGACTAAATTTTGAGTGCTAGCAGCTGACCCAGCCTTAATTTCGCTTCAGCTATCAAAGACTTTCCTACCCATAGTGTGAACTAATGAACCATGATTGTTTGTTCATTCTCACCATACCAACTGCCCAATCAAGTCGCCTTATTTCAGTCTGTCTCTAGCTGAATTAGAAAATGGAAGTGACAAATGGATTGTTGGTGAAACTATACCTAAGATTAATAGAGGTATATTTGTGTCAATGTTGATTGTTGAAGATGCAAGACTATGTACAAGAGGTTATATATTAGTAAGTAAGAAATTAGACGATTAAATTCTTACTGATTAAAGTAAGTAGTTTTAACAGCCTAGTTAATAGAGTTCAGGTTTGGTACTAAATGGGTACAAGTTAGAAGTGTATCATGACCTCATTTCGAGTTTTACCTTCATTCAATAACTACCTAAGTAAATGGATACATATCTCTGGCGGTCTTAACAAAAGTTTATCTTCGTATATGATATATCAACCTATAAATGCTACAATTCATGACATAGAGAAGAGATAATTCAGCGAAGAAAATTTTCTTATACGACGATATCATTCTCTACAGCTGTACAATCGTATTCATGTATATATCATAAACATATAACAGTCTATTATAAAACAATAGGGTATAATAGCTACATCATTAACCTAGTGCTAAAATCAACCGGAATCAAGAATGCGAAGTAGTTGCGTAATAAACTAAGACACTAGAAATATCGAGGAAGGCAAGGTGAAAATTGTCGGAAGCCTACTTGGAATAGGCAATATTTGAATTTCCACAGTTGGATGTCTTTCAGCAGAAAGAGGAATCTAATCCATTCTTTATCTTCAACAATCAAAAGAATCTGCACGAGTGATACTGTTGACGAAGAATTAGATAAACTACGGAAGATTCTCATGCAAAATGGATATCCATCCAGATTTATCGATAAAAACTTGAAAGTAAGTCAGAATACGGAGCGAGTACTCACAGTTCCTAAGAAGACCTTGTCTACGCCCGTTTTTAAAGGTGATACGGCAGCAGAGATCCTGAAGAGCCGAATGTCCAGATCACTGAAGAAGACATTCTTCTCTGTATAACTGCAGATCAGCTTCTCTAGTCAACATCTCATTCCGGAGTGCGTTAAGGACAAGTTACCACTTTGCACCACATCGATGTGTGTCTACAAATTTACTTGCTCCTTCCTGTGGAGCTAGTTATATAGGCCACACAGAGCGCACGATTTCCAAACGTATCTCACAGCACTATCCTGTGTGGTTATTG